TACCTAGCTCGAACTAATGAGCTAGAGTAGACGCATCCCTATCCCTCTGGAATTGGCTAGCAAAAGGGTCTAAGTCCTCGCTCTCCCTCCCTTTACCCCAGAGGCCTGTCTAACCCCAAATGCTCCCCTCCGCTCTCTGGTTTGGCAGATTCCTGGTAATCTGAACAAGGCTGGGTGTGTTCAACCTCCATTTTTGTCATGGTCATTTAGGACAAGGTCTGGGGTGTCCCCACACCGGGATGCTCTCTCTGCTCTGGGCACTTCTCTGACCCACTGATCATTCATGAAGTCCAAGGAAGCCAAATGTATTAAACAGCTACTAATTAAAATAAAATAAGAAAACCTGAAAAGGTGAAAGGAAAGCACAAAGCCTCACGCTGTGGGCACAAGGACATCGTAGCCAGCCGTCCCTGGAAAGGAAGGGAATTCACAGTCCGTCCCTCACGCAGCCCAGGCTGGGGTGTGCTGCCCTGCTGTGGCCACATGCCTTAAGACTCTAGCTCAGCCACTAGGGTTATGATCCCCCTTGGCTGCCTCTGCCCAGGGCCCCCCCCCACACACACACACAGTGGATCCTTCTCAGTGCACATGGCTCCAGATGGCTCTGTCCTCTGCCCCAGTCCCACCTCTGCTCTGCCTGAGCACTGCTGTTGCTCTGCCGCCATCTTAGCTCCCTGGGCTGCTTCTCTGGCTCTGCTCCCAGCACTGACCTGCTCCATGGGCTGCACCCTGGCCCCCTTGGCTCTGCTCCCAGCTCAGCCTGGGCCCCGGCTGTCCCATTGCTCAACCTTGCTGTTGCCGAGGCAGCTCCCGCTCTCATGGAGGATGGGATCCGCCCCCTCAAATCCTGACTCCTCATTGGTCTTCCTGCCTGTCCATGAGGCTGATCTGAAGCATTGGCCTATCCCCATTGCTCATGGGGCCTGTCAGTCAGAAGGGCCTGGTTTTCTATTGACTCTACTTGAAAGTAGGAATAAGAAATCCTTTGGGAGAAGGCTTTATTTTCCGGAGAATAACGTCTAGACTGGCGCTTTTCTCTGGCTTTTCCCCAAGCCGGAAAAAAGCAGCAGCCATGTTAATGCAAATACCGCGGGGGATATTTAAATCCCCCACGGATTTGCCTATTCCCAAGTGCTACATTAGCATCCCTTTTCCGAAAGGGGTGCCAATGTAGACACAGCCAAGGAGTAGGGAGAGCCAAAGGAAGAGTGTTCTTCTTTCCACTTCCTGCTGCGTAGACAGCACCAAAAGCCTAATTGAGCTATTTCGACTTCAGCAACGCAATTGATGTAGCTCAAGTTGCATATCTCAATTCGACCTTTGCCCTGCCATGTATACGTACCCTGGAAGGGTTATATAGCGAGAAGGAGGGATTGACAAAGAATCATGGGGACTCTGGCTAATTTGCTGCCAGCAATGATGAGTAACAAGCACCACTGAGCTTTGAATTTCCTGTATTCCTTTCAATCTGTTCAGAACCAAAATATGGACCCCAGGGTGTTATGAGGACCCAGAATGAGGCCCACACAAATATTACCCCTGCAGGGCATTCTAGACAGATGCGTAGATTATATGGCCAGGAGAAACCATTGTAACCCTCTCCTCTGACTTCCTGAATCACACTGGCTTGCCTTAAATTACTTCCTTTTTCAACTAGAGCAAACCTTTGAGAAAAGCTTCTCTTCTTGTTTGACACAATCCTTGCTAAACTGGTCCAATGGTCAATTAACCTCAGTGTAAAGAATTTCCAATTCATCTCCAGTCTCAATTTTCTACCTTCAAGGCCCAGCCACCAACTTTTGCTTCATTTTTGCCGGCTAGCTCTCGGTGTTTGCTGTGTTCACATTTCTTTTGAGTACCTTGAGGACAAGGATGAAGGCCTTGAACGTCACTTGATGTTGTCAGGGACACCAGTGCAGAGCACAGAGAACAGGTTGATGTGGTCACCATACCTGTGCTGTTGAAGAGATTCTTGAAGTCATGGGTAAGAGCTGGAGTTTCGTTATCAGTACAGGAAACCCCTGCTTTATGACGGCCCGAGTTGCGACTGCCCCTTTCTTATGTCCATTTTTTGTAAGTGCAGAAGGGGCCAAAAACCCCTGACTTACGTCCTCGGCCTGCATTTACGATGGCACACAATGCCTATTGTAAATGCAGGTTCGAGTTACGACGTTCCCGACTTACAACGCTTCCCCAGGAACCAATCGTGTCACAAGTTGGGGGCCACCGGTAAAAGCATCATGCTCGTGTATATTGCATTTCCACAGTTGGGACAGGAGTGATGAAAGTCTATATAACCGAGGTAGCAATCCACCAGGTAGCAATCCACCAGGATGAGTCGGAATGTCCTAGTCAATGGGAGGTGAAAGAAAGCTCTATTCACAGATGCTACTATTGCAGAGTCCAGTATCAACAAGCCATCCAAGAGCACCCTTGGACAATGGACTGAAAAGTCCCATTCTCTTCCTGTGCTTTAGCTTCAGCCTGCTGTTCCATCCAAGAACAGGACCACATTGATTAATAAAATATTCATAAAATAGAAGAAAGAAGTAAGAGATAAAATTGACGAAAGGAATCAAATTTGTACAGTAATTGCAAAATTCTTGGTTCAGGCTTAAAGCAGCGGTGGCCCAATCTGCTAACTGGTAAATTCTCAGGATGTTCTTAGTTAATTGGAAGATCCTCAGCCCTTTGGTTAGAATGCTTCCTTCAATGTAAGTCCAGAGATCAGAGCAAGAAAAAGGCCAAATGGACATTATTTCCAGCGTCTTTCATCGCTTCTGCCATGTGAAGGGAAACACCCCCCTTTTTTTTTCAAACAAAGCCCTCAGCACAGATTGTGGAAAAACACATATAACAAGATGGAGGCTAGAGGCATGTGTGCTGTTTACAAGTGCTTAAATGCTTTGCTGCATCAGAGCAGAAGCCATTATCCATATGCCAGCTAGAACATCCACAGCAGGGTCCCTCAGGTAGGGATAAGCCTCTTCTGTGACCTATTGTAAGTTGAGTGTTCTTTGATAGACCTTTTGTCTTGGAAAATTCCATTAACTGTGCTGGCTACATACCTTTTGGGTGTTAACACATGAGATACAGGTACCTTCTCACTATTCACAACTGATTCACGTGTACAAATAGCATAATCATTTTCAAGCATATTATAACTTTTCTATAGACACCTTACTTGACATGCCATGTACAAGATATGGTGTGATAATATAACACTACTATCAACAATGATCTACTTAGTCGTATTTTAATCAGATAATGTCAAAAGTATATAATAAAAAGGAATATAATAAAGAGGATAACACAGTTAATAATGGTGCAGAGAAGGAAAAAAATGTCTGATAAACCTTTTGGTGCTGTATCAGACCACTTGGACTCTTTTTTTCCAGGCCATTGTTAAGAATGTAGGATGGCCAACAGCAACTACTAAGCATCAATTTTTTTAGAAATCAACAGCCACAGCTCTCTCACCCAAACAGTTCTAAAAGGGTTGTCTGAGGAGATCTCTGCCCCATTGATTTGTGTTTTTAATAAATATTAGAAGCCCGATAGAGTGCTACAGTTATCACTGTTTTAAAAGGGGATGGCTTAGGTATTGAATGTAGGGTAGCTTAATATCAGTCATGGGCATAAGAAGGAGAGGTGGAAAGGGGTCAGTAAAGAATTAAAAGGTAGGCCTACAGTCCATGCCAATCAATAAGACTTGATGGAAAATATGGCATGTCAAACTGACAAGATCTCTCTTTTTTTATTTTGTGAAATAATTGGCTGATAAAGGTAACAGCAGAGTTGGAATTGGCAGCGTTGGAATTGACTTAGACTAGGGTGACTTATTTGGCCTAGTTCTCCATGGCATTTAGATTAACAAATTAGCACTAGTGACAATCATTAAAAGGCCAAGTGGACATTATTTCCAGCATCCTTCATGGGGTGGGGTTGGTTCCTGTGTGGCCTTGGGGATAGGGTGCTTGTATGGAGAGAACAGGGTTGTGGGTTTAAGTCCCACCTCTCCTGGGGGCAGGGTGGGATAAAGGGCCTCCCTGTGGTAAGGTGTTGGGATGGGTTCCTGCATGGTGTGATGGGACAAGTTGGGGGAACAGCTGGGTGGCTCTGGGGCAGGTGGGATAAAGGTCCTTCGAATTGACTTTTCAAAAGATCTTAGAAAGGAGATGCTCATGGGGTATCATCATCAAACATGACTTTTTTGTCTCATTGTTCACAAAGGTTCTTGTGCATTCAATTCTCAATGATTTCAGTCCCTGGGGGCTTGGCTAAAGGGCTGGAGAGAGGAGCCTATTTCTACATGGGATTGTCAGCTGTGATCCTTCCACTGGAGCAAGGGACCTAACATGTTCAGCTAGGTCAGCACTTTCTTGTGAGAGACCCAAGAGCGATGTGTGAGACCGAAGTTGAAAATGTCTGTTCTACCTCATTTATATAATAATACAGAGCTATACCATCTCATAGAACCAGAAGGGACCCTGAAAGGTCATTGAGTTCAGTCCCTTGCCCTCATAATAGGACCAAATACCATCCCTGACAGATTTTCCCCAGATCCCTAAATAGCCCCCTCAAGAATTAAACTCACAACCACAGACTTAGCAAGCCAACACTCAAACCACTGAGTTATCCCTCCCCCCTCACATGGCCTACATGTATGATCTGTTATTAAGCATAGACTTAATCTCAGGTCTCATACTTCCTTTAAGAACCAGGAAAATAGCAATTCACAATCTCTGTCAGGAGCTATTCCAAAACTAAACCTTCGATGATGATATAACCACCCCTGTGGATATGGGGAAAGTGGTGGAGGAAATATGCCCTGACTGAAAGAGAAGAGAAGATTGGAATGAGAAACTAGAGTAGGGACTTAGTGGAACAGGTGACCAAAGAGGTGGGGCCTTGTGGGTCCAATTAACAGTACTTAGAAAGGTGGTGGCCTTCGGATATGGAGCTCAGTCTCGGAACAAGAGCTCTAGACAAATAAAAAATCAGGTCCCTTTATGAGTAAACAGACGGAGCAGCCTGTTCCAGATCTGCTTGGTCCTCACCCCATAGATGATGGGGTTCAGCATGGGGGGCATCAGGAGATACACGTTGGCAAAGAGAATGTGGAAATGCAGGAGATCATTCTGGCCAAAACGTTGCGTGAGGAAGGAGAAGAGCCGTGGGATGTAAAAGGCAGAAATGACACAGAGGTGGGAGCTGCAGGTCTCAAATGTCTTGAGCCGGGCGTCCTTGGTGGGGAGGCTGAAGATGACCCTGAGGATCTGAATATAGGACAGGATGATGAGGAACACATCCACACCAATCACCAAGAAGGCCACAAAGAGGCCGTAGTAACTACTGATGCGGATGTCGGCGCAGGCCAGCTTCACCACGGCGATGTGCTCACAGAACGTGTGGGGGATCATGTTGGTTCTGCAATACGGCCAGCGACTCGCCAGGATGGGACAGGGTAGTAAGAGTATGCTACCGCGCAACATCGCAACCAGGCTGATCTTGCCCACCACAGGGTTTGTGAGGATGGTGGAATGTCTCAGGGGATGGCAGATGGCCACGAAGCGATCAAACGCCATGGCCACGAAAATCCCTGACTCCATCACTGAGAAGCAGTGAATGAAGTACAGCTGGGCGAGGCAGGCACTGAAATCGATCTCCTTGGAACTGAACCAGAAGATGCTCAGCATTTTGGGCAGGGTGGTTGTGGTCAGGACCAGGTCGGCAACAGCCACCATACAAAGGAAATAGTACATGGGCTCATGGAGGAAGGAATTCCCAGCAGGATGAAGGTGGAGGGGTTGGTGAAATGGGTTGTGTTGGAATGTGACATGGAGTAGGGCAGGTGTCCAGCTCTGAAGCAGAATGGTGTCTCCTCTATGTACCTTACGTTCCCCTGATGTCCTGTACGTGCCCAAGGTGTAGGGTAACGGTCAAGTTATAATCACCTGTATGGAGAGAGAATGTTAGTGTGAGACACAACATAAGAACAGCCAGACTGGGTCAGACCAACAGTCCATACAGCCCAGTGTCCTGTCTGCTGACAGTGGCCAATACCAGATGCCCCAGATGGAGGGAACACAACAGGTAATCCTCACGGGATCCCTCCCCTGTCACCCACCTCCAAACAGAGGCTAGGCACACCATTCCTATCGATCCTGGCTAATAGCCATTGTTGGACCTAATGTTAATGAATCTATCCAGCTCTTTTTTTAACCCTTTTTAAAAGTCCTAGCCTTTACCACATCCTCTGGCAAGGAGTTCCACAGGTTGACTGTGCACTACTGGAGGCTACGACATGCACTACCTGAGGCTGTTCTCAAGGGGGTGAGAGATTGGTTGCTCTTCACTGAAAAAATGACATTTTTATCATTTAGAGAATTGGATTATGAGCAATAGACCCTAAAATGCCAATTTCATATTTGATAGTGCTCCATTTGTTAGCAATTCCTTCATATCATGCTGTGGGAAACCTTGATAGGCATCAACAGGAAACATCGGTGTAGATACTGGACACCCCTGGTTCTTCCCGAATGCCATGAAATCCAGGCTGGAGAGTACATGCTCTAGGTTGTTCCCCATTCACCCAGTTGCTCCAAATCTGAGTTTGGGGAAACAAAATCTTTGCAACCACGGAGACGTTGGGGAAACAGGCCAACTCTAGCACACCTTGGGGGAATGACCTGTGTGTCATTGAAAGCAAACAGCTGCTCAGTCACATTATTGGCCGAAACACAAATAATGTCCAGATGTCTAAGGAATGGGATGGAGAATAACTCATTCTGGTCATGCACTGCCTTTTGGTCACCAAGTTGCTGTGAGAATCGGGGAGGCTGCCAGATGAGGACAGCTGGAAAATCCTGTGAATGGGCAGTTTAAAGAAGAGACAAATAAGGGGGCATATGACAGAGGAGACGAAAAGAAAGAATGGAACGGACTCCCTGCAAATGGGCAAAAAGAGAAGATTGTTCTAACCGCAAATATCTAAAGCTCCCCAATGCTTCCAAATGTTAATTCCGCTGTTAGCAAGCTAATCACGGTGAAATAACGTCGCTGTGGAGACTAACAAAAATACATGAATAGTAGCATGCACTTTCGTGCACAAAACCACTTCCTTAGTGCAGCCAAACGCACAATTAGCCTGTGGGAACAGCCCCCTAGCAGAGAAAGCTGAGACCCTGGAGAGAATTTAGCCGTCATCGTGGGCAAATGGCACATTGTGAGCTCCCAGCGCCATGCTGTGGATGGAAGGGGCTGATGGGATCCCTGGATGAATAAACAGCAGGGGAGTGAGTTGGAGCAGGGGAAGGATTTTACCGTTGCACCTTTCAGTGGGGAGACCGACTGCAGCCAGCCCTGGGGTCCATGTTTCAAAACAGGAGTGGATGCAGAACACCGTTTATTCAGAGTCATCCACTGGGCCAAACTCATCCCCGCTGGCCAGGGCCCTGGGACGTTTAATGGCCACGCAGAGAGGAAAGGAGCAGGGACCGATTCTCTCACCCACCACTCCTACATTACACAAGAGCAGCACGACATGGGTACCTGTAAGTTTGGAGACAGACCTGTCCTCCGTGGGAATCCCTCTCCGGTAGCTGATTGTGACACCTCTCTCTGTTCAGCATCTGCAGCAGCCCACACCGATAGCTGACACAGTGTGTCTGCACCGATTATAATATAGCTCCCTGCAATCCCATTGGGGTTTGCTCAACCTCTAGGGGAGGTGTAGGTATCTGAATGTAAACATGCTGGGCACAAGACGCATCTGTGCATTAAGAGTAAACAGTCTTTAAGGGGCCCATCCCAAAGGAGAGAACTCTTGAGGTTTTGAATTGAGTCAGGCAGGAACTGTCTATTCTGTGGGTTTGTGTGTATTTAACAATTATAGTTGATTAATTAACAAACAATCCAAAGTAACATGCCTGAGGGCAGACATGAGCTCTTTCTGCCGATACACCGGGCTGTTGCTAAGGGATCAGAGGTCATTGATTCTCGCTAGTAACTATCATCATCCTGTGCAGCACCTTTCATTGAAGGATCTTAAAAACACCAAACCATTGAAATTGACCAAGACCATATCCTTAGTATACTGATAGGTAAACTGAGACACACATGAATTCTAGACTCCTGGCTTCCTTACTGTAAGCACAGTCTCTCCATAAATAACTGAGTACAAGAAAGGGAGAAATGGACACATGATGTAGCAGGGAAATTTACCTGGATGGGTGTGGAGGATGTCTCCAGGTGCAATATGGAAGTGGATTATTGCTGAGTCCTCTGGCAGACCCACCTGGCTCCCTCTCACACTGTGAAGCTGTGACAAGCCACAGTGCTTTCCAGGTTGTGCACTTACACAGCCATTCACAGGCAGGGACACCACAAGCACACTTCAGTGAACGCTTTGGACACTCAAGGTATGTCTACTCTACGGGACTAAGTAAAATTAAGCTGCACAACTTCAGCTACATTAATTGCCTAGTTGAAGTCAAAGTTCATGAACTCAACTGTTGGCGGTGTCCACACTGAAGGAAGTAGAAGGGAGAAGACTCTCCCTTCGACTTCCCTTACTCCTCATGGAACTCAGAGCACCCCTCAGTTCGAATGACTGTGTCTTCACTACACCCGCTAATTCAAACTCAGGAGGATCAAGAGCAGCAGCTTCGATCTTATCTCTAGTGTAGACACATCCTCATGGCCCCACAATAGAGAGGCGCCAGCCTGTTACCTCAAGTACCCAAGCCTACAATCCGTGTCTTGACTCATGTGCTGTGCCGACGATCAGCTGAGCCGGCACAACGTGGTGGCCATTTTTATTTTAATGAAGCCGGGGATATTTAAATCCCCGCTGGGGATATTTAAATCCCCTACTATGTCGGGTAGCCTATTTTACACGCCTCTCTTGGCAGAGGTATGTAGTCTAGACATATCCTCATTGATCTGAAAAGAGAGGAAGTTTCCTTCTCTGGGTTGCTAGGAAACCTCCTTGCCTATTCCTGTAGCATTGCTAGCCACTGTGCTTTTCCAACTGGTGATAACTCGATTCAGATATCGATCAAAGGCATGAGTTTTTGCCTTGGGTTCTCCTTCCATTCAGCAGCCTGGGTTTCCCTGTTGTGACGAGTTTTCTACCTCTTTACAGGTTTACAGGTGTTAGTTCCTTCTCTGGGTTGCTAGGAAACCTCCTTGCCTATTCCTGTAGCATTGCTAGCCACTGTGCTTTTCCAACTGGTGATAACTCGATTCAGATATCGATCAAAGGCATGAGTTTTTGCCTTGGGTTCTCCTTCCATTCAGCAGCCTGGGTTTCCCTGTTGTGACGAGTTTTCTACCTCTTTACAGGTTTACAGGTGTTAGTAAA